ACTTATATGTATAAAAGCAGATCATCCCTAAGACAGTAACAAAAAATAGTTTATAGAAAAAAATTGCTATAATTTCATAACATGAGAACAAATAACTTTTAGAAGAAAAGTAATTATCTAAAATTCACAGTGTCCCTTATAATGCAACTGGTATTATACATACACCAAAAAAAATTTCCTATCTTCCAGAAATGTCTTTTATGTATGTTAACTGACTGACATTAATTGAACATAAAAGAAAGAGAAATCTTAACCTTACAATGTTCTTAGCAAACAAGTCAAACTATACCCTTGAATTTTCCATTTTGATGGAATAAAAACTCTCTGTATGGAAATGATATTCAACATATGACATTTAAATTTTCCTACTACCATAAAAGAAAAAAAAAGCGTAACCTAATTTGGGAACAAGACTAATATATTCACATGATTGCAAAAGCTCACTGATCAATACATTGTGAAGTCTTTTTTAAATAATATTTAAATGAAGCTTATGATAATTTGCATCATAAAGACTTTTGTAAACTGAATAAGTAACAACTATTTTGTCTGTTTCATACTTTGAGGCAAATTTTCACCTTCTGTGACAAAGGCAGACATAAATTCTACTTACCTTATTATTCATAAATGCTTTAAGGCACTGAATAAGTTTATACTGGTTCTTCTTGTCAATATTTTCTTGCCTAAGTAAAAGAGGAAAAGGTCTTATGTTGTGCTTAAAAAGTTCTCCTTGTAAATTTTTTAAATGTTTATTCTTACTTTTTTTTGTCCAGAAGCTTATCCAGCACATCCAGTAGGAGTCCAAGACCTTCATGGCCAAAGTTGTTAACCCAGCTAAAAAGTAAATGAATAAAAAAAAAATGAGTTTGCATATTTAAACATTACTCATTCAAAATTAAATTCTGGTTTTCAGATCTGAAGATCTTGTATTCCTATTGCCCTTGTCATTGTTCTTTTCTATTCCCACTGTTTCAAATATTGACTCTATGAGGATGAAGGGTAAATGGAATAAAAAGAGTGTCAGGACTTTATTTTTCAGTCTGTGGTCAGGGAAAGATTCTCTAAGAAGGTAGCATTTGAACAGAGCCCTGAAGGGAAGTTCATACTTTCTCAGGAGAAGGATTAAGGGCAAACTGGGTCTTGAGGTGTTGGCTAGTGGGTTTGCAATGTTCCAGGAACTGTGAGACCAGCATAGTGGAAGCTAAATAAGAATGCTTGGGAAAGTGGCTGGATAAAGTTCCATGAGTTATAGACCAGAAAACTTATCTCACAGAGCTTAGTTTAACTTTCTGGTATCCAGTCATAAATATTCTACATGCAGAATGACTCCTCCAAATGCCTTCTCCCCTTTTTTCATTGTCTAAGTTAATATTCTAGTTTAGGCCTAGTTACCTCTGTTTTAATTTCTGGAGCTTCCCAACTGTGGTCTCTATAGCTTCATGGTTTTCTTGTATTCATTTTAGAAAACACCAGATTAAATTACAACTAGCCATAGTCTTCGGTCTAAAAATTTCCCTTGGATTACTTAATAAATCTTAAATCCTTTGGCCTGATATTTGGCCTGAAATCTACCTTTCTAGCCACCAGCCTTATACCATAAGTGTCAATAAAATCAGACGAATTATCATTCCTGGAGCTCTCTTTGCACTTCCCTGAGTGAACTCATTTATTCTTTCTTTCCAGAAGGGAACCCCAACTCCATCTCACCAAGCCCTTCAAGGCTTAAATGGGTTGTTCTGAGACACTGATAATGTTTTCCTCTCTGAGTCCTCCAACAAAATATGATGTTTGTTTTGTTCGTTTTTTTGTTTGTTTGTTTGTTTGTTTGTTTCTCCTTTTGACCCTCCATGTAAACTTCATCTCTTACTGCCTGGAAATATAATTCTTGCACACTTCTATCACCCCTCTGGATTATTACCTCATTCATTTTTCTGTCTCCCATAGTGCTTAGCATGGTGGCTTTTATATATATAGTCACTAAATAAATATTTATATATAGTGAACATTAAATAAATACTTGCTAATTTAAATTTAATTAAATATTCTGGCTTGTGTGCTTATGAAAATAAACAGTCCCATACTGCCCAAGAAAATCATTATATACCAGACTTTTGTAAAGTAACAAATATCTATACTATATATATTCAAATCATATCTTTATTTCTAGTCCACAGTCTTTCAACCATCCATTTCATGTCTACCTAAACTAAAGCTTTTCAACAATGCAGAGACCTAAATTTCTAAGAGAATATCAGCAAGACACATCAGCTCATTGAAAAAATATATTAAAAACCTCATATTCAGAACCAATCACATCAAGAATATATATAGAAGCTCATTTTAAACAAATTCTGCTTTAATTTCCACAATGGAAATGAGAAAAAATCAATATGGCATTGTAATGATAATTGGCAGCAAGTTACTATTCAATTGAGACATGTAATCATCCAGTGCAATGAGCTATTTTCTCTAAAGACTCAATAATCAGTGGGGTGGTAGTAGAGGGATAAAGGGACATCGGCTCTAAGTATAATACACTATATTTAATTTATCACAGAGAGAAATCAGCAGATATCATTACAGCACAATAAAGCCTAAAACAACCTTTACATGTCAGGAATTCTGAACAAATTTATATAAACAGCCCACAATATCTGCTTTGGCATTCAAAAAGATGAAATAGTCTGTGATTTCTTTCAATTTAACACAAATCAATCCTAAAATTCCTAATTTTATTATATTCTCTTTACATCTGGTATTATTAAAATTATTGGGGTTCTATATTGGTCTAAGGACGTATTTGACACAGGACAAGATTTTTATTTGTTCACTTGTTCACCCACATACCCCAGACTGTCTCGAATGGTGCAGTTTATTGTACTTTGGTTTGATTCAGTGAAAATTACTATGGCTTTAAAAGGGAAATAAAAGAATACAATCATGAACCTCAAATGAAAAGAGGCAGGGTCTATTTATTACAAACTAGGCATTGAAAAGTCCTAACTGAGAATATTTTAGGCCAATGGGCCAAGGAGGACTAATAGAGTCTTTGGAAGTTTTAATAGTGAAAATTGAAGCCTGGAAGGACCCTGTTGCTAGAGGGATAAAATAATTATGCTGTAGTGTGATGACCCTCAGGAGATTAAAAGAAAAGAGCTCAGCTATTCATTCCTTTTCTTTTTTCTCTCTCTCTTTTTCTCTTGTCAACACTATTTCTCTGTCTTTTAGGCACGAAATACTTTGTGGTCTCTAGGCAAGAACTTACTTTTCTCTCTCTCTCTCACTCTCTCTCAATCAATCAATATTTTAGCTCTTTAAGCATTTCTCACCTTCTACATAGCGATAAAAATATCCCTCTAACCCATAAAGTCTTTGTGAATATTAAATGAAATAAATTATGTGAAACAGCATAGTGAAGCAAGTATTAAGGATTTTTTTTTGAAAATGTTAAAAACCAAAATTCTGAATGCTCTTTGAATCTTCTATTCCAAAGTACAGTATGAAATATAGGCATAAATGAAATAATCTATTTCAATAATATTAATACTTGACTTTTTATCATAAAATTTATTTTTTATGAAATATGCAGAAGACTCTAAATTCATATACTCTCTGATTTGAAAACAAGACAACAGGCCAGACTAATGGCCTAGTGATTAAGAGAGCCAGGTCCCACATGGCCGACCATACAGTTCAAATCCTAGCCCCAGTGACTTGAAAAACACATCTGACATGTATGTGTGCATGCCCCAAATCCAAACTGGATGGAGAAATGAGAGAGAAGTGATTATAGTGTCACCACTTCCCTTTAGGTGGTGCTTTCTCCTCCTTCTTATCAGGCTCTCTGGCAAGTGCACGGGCCCTTTGAGAAACTGAAAAAAATGAAGTCTTCATAATTTCAATATTTGGTATTCATATTATCTCATATTTTTCTTTAACTTAGCACTATCCAATTTTGTGTATATTTAATTGTACTTTAATTAATTTACTAAGTATTTCAATACTTAGAGCTGATCGATTCATACCAGAATAGACATGGAAATTACGATGGTACAGGGGAAGGAGATTGAGAGGAAGGGGGGATAGATATGAATTTATAGTTCATATATCATCTGGACAGTAAGAAGTATATCAAAATATATTAAAGTTTTGAAACAGAGATCTCTCCCAAGCCTTCAGGACTTCTGAGGTCATTGTTTTTAAAGGGCCTATTTATACTGATCAGCATGAAAAAGGAACAACAATCTTAGATTAAATGAATATACCAGAGGATTCATTTAACTCTAAATCCAAATGAAAGCAATATTCTTCCCTCTTGCTCTCTAAGGCAAAGCAAAATGAAGAAAACTCTCTATAAATGTACTTATTGATGAAGAAAATGAGATTCCCCTCCCTCATAGACCATGTTAAGTATAAACGTTCACAGTTTTCCAAAATCTCAACCTTTTATCCACAAATCAGAGATTCAGACTCTGACTTATTTAGTTATATTTCACATAAATATACAACAACTTAAAACATTTAGTGGTTGGTTAAGTTCAATACTACATACAATACAGACATAATAGAAAATAGTGACTACATGTCCATTTATTATTAGACCATGTGGACCTACGTCTACCTTACAAAAGGGTCAAAGCTAAAATTAGAAAGTTCTATACTGAGTCCCATAAGCTGTAAAGGCAATTGGTCTCATGTGAGAGAGTCCAATATTAGTCATGTCATCCCTTTATCACTGTTTGTGCAGTGCTAAAGGCTAGTAGAGAGGGTTATGTGTTCTGTACAAAGGATTTTATTTCTCTCTAATGGTGTTATAGTCCCTTGTGTAATCTCATACTACAACCCAAATCAGTGGAACATCAAATAAAATGAATGATAGTTCAGAGTTTCTTGGGGTAATTCAGAAAGTTGATAAAATTATAACACATGAAACAACTAATTCAGAGTTGAAGAGACTTTAAGGATTACTGTAAATGAGGTGTGTGTGTTTTTTTTTTAAATAGGAAAACATCTCATTTCAATACGAATGTTGCCAACATTATGTTTTCGAAGGCAAATAAAACCAAACTTTGGTTATGTGCATTTATGCTAAAGGGGGGGGGGGTTGAGTGATTAAAACCATGTATAACCCAACAAAAGCAGTATCATATGTTCAATCCATGAATTAATATCTCCAAACAGTAGCCAAGGAAAACAATATTTTCAGCATCTTTAAAGGATAATCCATCTGCTCAGCTAAATCAACTTCATAGATAGTTCCACTGTCAATATATACATTCATTAAAACTAAAATGTTGGGACCAGCAGTTAGCATAATGGCTATGTCGCTGGACTCCCATGTAGTCAACTCTGGTTCGTGTCCCGGACCCGGTGGCTTAACTCACGCCGAGCACGTGTGCGTGCGTGCCCAAGATACCAAGAGGAGAATGGAGGAGAAGGGATCACGGCGTGGCCATCCCCCCTGGGGGGTGATTTCTCACTTTCTATCTCTCTGTCTCTCTCTGTCTTTCTGGTGAACGCATGCGCCCTATAGCAAAAACCTCTCAAAAAAAAAAACTGAAATGTTTAAAAATAAAAACAACATGGATTTCTGTATGGTAAAACTGACTTAGTCTTAGCCCAATAAAAACATATATACTCATTCAGGTTTGTCTACATGATACTAAACATAACAGCATTGAGCATTTAAATGTCCTTGGAAGCTATTCCTCATGGTAGACTCGTGCATAAACTATCTCTGACCAATTATAAAGTACCTATTTGATGTAATACTGCCATTTCCAGACATTCGTCCATAAGCCTTTGAAGCATGACATTCACTGACCACTTCTTTC